GATCCTTGTTGATTCTTGTTTTATTATTTCTTTATTTTATGTTGCTGAATTGCATTGACATGTGTGTCCCTTCTTGTGCACAACCCAGAAGCTTTTGTGATTCTTTTCAGCAAAAATTACCGGCAAAGATGTTTCAGTGTGGAAAAGGGCCTCAGTCTAAACTAGGCCTCATTTCAATCTGATGCATCAGCTTTCTCTCTCTCTCTCTCTCTCTCTCTCTCCCTCCCTCCCTCCCTCCCAGACTGGATTTGCTCTACTTTCCTGATGTGCCTGCAGGGCCAGTGCTTCCAACATGGATGGATGGATAGATAGAGAGAGACAGGTAGGTAGGTAGGTAGGTAGGTAGGTAGATAGATAGGTAGATAGATAAGATATATTGGTAGATAGATAGGCAGGCAGGCAGGCAAGAAGGTAGGAAGACAGACAGACAGACCTTATGGATGGATGGATAGGTAGGTAGGTAGATCTATATTGGTAGATAGATAGATAGATAGATAGATAGATAGATAGATAGATAGATAGATAGATAGATAGATAGACAGACAGACAGACAGAAAGGCAGGCAGGCAGGCAGGCAGGCAGACCTTTTGGATGGATGGATGGACAGACGGATGGATAGACAGAATGCGACAGCGGCGGCACTTTGGGAAAGTAAAGCAAAGCCGCCGCCATCGCAGTCGAGGCGCTGGCTCCAGAGTGGCGCAACAGTCAATGGGGTGAGCCTGCAGTGCCAGCACCTCGAACGCCCCCCTGTTGCCTTTTAGCGCCCCTCTGACTTGGGGATGCTAAGAGGCGGTAGGGGGCGTTCGAGGTGCTGGCACTGCAGGCTTACCCCACTGACTGTTGCACTGGAGCGGTGCAAGGGGCTCAATGGGGTGAGCCTGAGGAGCTGGCACGTCGAACGCAGCGGCGGGACGTTGCAAAAGTACAGCAAAGCTGTCTGCCCTGGGCTTCCTCAACCCTACCCTGCTCCAGGAAGGAGGGAACAGCACCGGCCTCTACGACGTGAGTGCCTTGGGGGGGCAGCTTGGAAGGCTGATCCCTGGTGGGAGGGGCAGCCTGTGAACTTGCTGTCAGGCACGGGAACTACAAAGAGGGACGGGCTTGGCTGAGCGGTATCCTGGATATTGGGCATGTGATCAAAGCCCCCCTTCCTCTACCTCCCCCTAGGTGATCCACAGATGCCATTGACTGTTGCACTGGAGCGGTGCATCGGAGCTGCTGCATTTGAGGTGCCGGCTCCGGAGCGGTGCAACAATCAATGGGGTGACCCTATGGGGCTGGCACCTCGAACGCCCCCGCTTGCTTCTTAGCGCCCCCCTGCCGGCCCCCTTGCCTCTTAGCGCCCCCCTAAGGCATCCCACTGTCCCCCAGGGGCGGTACCGCCCACTTTGGGAACCACTGTTTTAAAGGGTCGTTGAAGCACTTGGAAGGAATACAAATCCTTCCATTCCTCACTATCCTGTCAGAGCTGAAGAAGTTTCTTAGATGAGAAGTGAAATGTCTTCAAAAGAAAAAAAACAGAAAGTCCAGTTGCCTCCTGAAAAAGCCCCTTTGGGACAACCATGACCTGGATGACTGAGAATCTCTACAGACTTTTAGCCATACAATTTGGGATGAACACCCTTTGAATGGTGTGGGAGTAGGAATGGATTTCCAGAGGAAAGAATTACAGATTGCAGGAACCAGCAGCACTACTCAGGTGATCCCGAGGACACAGATAAACCTCCAAGTGCTTCAACAACCCAAAAGGATGCAGATTACCAGCCAGGCATGATATTCCGCTCTGGAAAAAAAATCGGGGCCGGACAAAAGAGACCCCCCGCCGCGCGCCCGGGGAGCGCCCGCTGCTTTCCCTCGCCGGGGCCGGGCGGCGGCGTGTTGCACGGAGGCTGGTCTGTGGCTGGCCCAGCTCCCTTTTCCTGCCGCTCAGCGGCCTCCGCTCGCACCGCCCGGGCTCCGCTCAGGTATCCGACTGGGGCTGTCAGGAGTTGCTACCGCCGGCGCAGCTCCACGCGGCTCCAGTCCCGCATTGCCTCGGGAAGGGAAAGGCAAAACCAGGAGCCGCTGCTGCCGTTGCAAAGCGCTGCCGCGGCTCTTCCTTTTTGCCTTTCCCTTCCTGAGGCAACGCGGGACTGGAGCTGCACGGAGCCGCGCCAGCAACTCCTGACTCGGGGCCTCCGAGGGGAGGGGAAGGAGGAGAAGGGGTGGGGGGAAAGGAGGGGGCGATTCCCAAAAAAATCGGAATTCCGATTTTAATCGGAAGAATATCATGCCTGACCAGCTGTCTGCAAGGACTATAAATCCTTCTATTCCCCACCATCCAGTCAGAGCAGAAGCAGCTTCTTGGATGAGAAACAAAACGACTTCAAAGAAAAAAAAAACAGTCCAGTTGCCTCCTGAAAAAGCACCTTTGGGACAATCATGACCTGTATGACTGAGAATCTCTACAGACTAATAGCTTTAAAATTTTCAGAGTTAATTAGATTTTTTTTTGTTTCTAATGCATCGTTGCAAAATTACAAACCAAGGGCTGAACTGGCCTAGTGAATGTTTTATTTTAGCTTTTCAAAAAGTGGAAGGGACAAAAGAAAAGAGGAGGGCAGGTTGGCTTCTCCTTGGTCCAGAACCTGGAAAACATTTTTACTGGACAATAATAGGATTTGATTTAACTGAAATAAGCATCATAGATGGACATGTTCCGGGGGTACCAGCTTCAATAGTAAACAAGAACACAAATGAATAATAGAATAACAGAGCTGGAGGGACCTTGGAGGTCTTCTAGTCCAGCCCCTTGTTCAGGCAGGAATCCCTATACCATTCCACACAGTCTCTTCTTAGAAACCTCCAGTTGGAGCACTCACAATGTCTGGAAGAAAGCTGCTCCACTGATTAATTGTTCTCACTGTTAGAAACATTCCTTCTCAGTTCTAGGCTGGATCTCTCTTTGATTAGTTTCCATCCACTGCTTATTGTCCTGCGTTCAGATGGGTCTTAATTGAGTCTTATTGCAGATCTTGTTCCATTAAATAAAAAAAATTGGACTACATGAAATAAATTTGGAGAGAGTGAAATGCCTACGTGTAGCCATATGATGTAATCAGTTTATGAAATTATTCTTGTTTACAAAGATGGGCGCCCATTTGCAGCAGCATTAGTTTTATTAAATGAACGAGGAGGTTGCATTAAAGGACATCATTCCTCTCCAGGCTGGAAATGAGAATGCTTTCTTCGGCAACAGGAACTTCAGAGTGAGCTTCTGTAAGGCAATCATTTCTGAAGCACATGATAGTTCCAGATAGGCGACTAGGCCTTGGTGAACACCACAAACAAGTCGCTATAGCACTAACAGCTATCAGCAATGCAGATAATATCACTAGGACCAATGTCGTATGATATGATCCTTGAAAAAGAGAGCGAGAAAGAAAAAACTTGATAGTAACAGTTTTAGCTTCATGTTTAGAAATTAAAATATGGGAAAGTGATGTCACATACCTTTCACTGCTGGTACTGCAGTCTCTTGAAAATCTGAAAAATAATGTATAATTAACTACTTCATGGTTAGAGATAGGAGCAATGTAGCTACCCTGTTTCTCCAGCAATACGGCCTCCCCCAATAGGAAGTCCCAGCATGTTTTATAGGCATGAAATGAAATTAAGCCCCTCCACCCCAAATTAAGGCCTATATTAAAACATGCGAAATGGGGGGGAATGGTGGGGGGGCTTGTCGTTAGAAAGTACTTTTGTTGCACACCCGGATACGGTGCTGCCTGCATTGACCCCGATACGAAGTGCCCCACCAATGCCGAGGTCAACATCCAAGCTGTCTCTGCCCGCCTGCCCGAAGATGCAAGGGGGGTGGAATTAAGTCACCCCAGAAAAGACGGCCTAGCCATTTTTTCGGGGCTCAAAAAAAAAAAAAGACCCGGCCTTATTATATGAGAAACATGATAGGAGTAAGCACTGTGGTTGCACCAGTCCTAAGAACCTGTTGGGTGCCTGATTTAATTATTTTTAAAAGATATTTTATTTAAAAAAAAAACCCGATACATGAAATAAAAGTGTAAGTGCATTTGTATCTAGATCCTTGATAGGCCTTCTTAAACATCACAAATGGTAGTTTTACTTAGAACTGCATTTCACAGCCTAGAAAAAAAATATCAAAAGATGGAATCGTACAAAACGTCATGTTGAATTATACGAGAGAAGTCAAGAAGCATCCAGAGTTTATCCTCCGATAAATAACTATTTCTTTTCTGCACACCACAGCAACTATTCTGTGAACAAGCAAACCCAATCCCCAACTCCTATTTGCAGTTATTTTATATTTCTCCAAAACTTTAAAATGTGCCTATCAGCCTCAAAAGAATGACTGTCTTAGATTTAATAATTATATTTAGATGTTCCCCTTGAGCTAAATTTATCTCCTATGAAAAATATGAATGTTAAACAGCTTTGGTTAGATAATAACATCAACAGTTTACTTGAACAAATCATCAAGTTTAAGGATTTTTTTTCTGATGATTTTATTCAGTATATAGTGTTCAATGGGTATAAATATTTATAGCTTTTCCTTTTGTGAGTGTATTATTTAGAATAAAAATAGTTGCTACTAATTTTGGCCAAAATAATATCCAAAAGTACTGGGTTTGAAAGGGAACTGCCTAGGAGTAAGATAGCAATATTTTTGTTCAATTATCAGCTGATTCATGCACAAGTTTTTAATTTAGTGAAATGACACGGGAAAACCCCTGTCCAATTCATGCTTTCAAATGTGGAATGAGGTATATCCCATCTACAGCATTTCCCCCCATAAAGTATCTATGTCCAAATGATAAACATCAGCCTCACTGAATTTTCATTAGTTGTAGTTGGGATCTTTGCAAACCTTATGACACTGATGTCTTTTTTTAGAAGTCCAAATTCCTTAAGAGGTCCCAAATGTTTTATCCTCTCTGGGGACTGGTGGCTGCAAATAGTTTGCTTTTGGCCCAGCTAGGTCCATGTTTGCACAGAAGAAAGAGTTAATGTTTAAGCAACAATGTGGGGCTTACGGTTTCCTACCCTTCAATTAGAATGTAAAAAGAGAAATTCATACCTGTGTTGGCTTTACATACAAATCCTTTTTTCTCATGACAGGGTACTAACTTCCAGATGCCATCTGCAGTTGTCAAGACAATGCAGCTGTTTCCTGTCCATTGACCCACCTCAGTCTCCACAGTGCCCCAGTTTGAATACTGAACTGGAGAGCCATCAAACCATATTAACGTAGCATCTAAGGGCAACATTAGTGACGTCACTAAAAAGTTGAGAGACTCCAGAATCCATGCATAAGACCTCACAATTCTATTTATTATATCTTCCCATCCCTGGTATTTTCTTATATCTTACATCCCTATATGGATTTGAGAGGAAATATTTGTGAACAAACTACTATGTTTGCATCATTATTTATTCAAAAATTAAACAGTCCTGCAGCTTTGGAAATTAGGGGAGTGTCCTTCTAGCTCTAGTTATCTTCAAGGAAGATCGTGCATCATAACTGCAAGCTATTTCTCCTCATACAGTATTATCTAGAATAAGTCATTAAATGTTTATGAAAATGCAATTTACTTGGGAGCTGCCCATCTATGTTCTCTTTTTACAACATGAATTTATAGATATTTTGCAAGCTACTCAGAGTGTTTTGGAGGAAGTAGATTGCAAAGTAAACAATGAAAAACTAATGCATTCATTTTAGGTTCAAATTAATCTTTACTTCAGAGGTATTGCTATTCCTCTCTATTCCTTCAAAATACTTCTGCGTGTCATCCCTTAAACCTTTATGCAGAATGAAACAGCCTGTAAATATCTAAATGGATTTCCAATTATGCATCATCTTGTCTTATATTAAACAACTTTTTAAAAAAATCTCAGAGCTCCTTTATGAACCAGATGAATTTGTAAATATTTTCATTGTACGTTTAAACATGGGATATATAGACAAAGAATGTTGGTCCTAACAAAGCTGCAAAGAGAGCTAATGTGGGATAATGGTTAAAGCACAGGGTTAAAAGTAGAGAGATCTAAGTGCTAGTAAGCTAAGAGAATGATGGTTCTCTCTCTCTCTCAGCCCAAGATACTTAGCAGAGTTATAAGGATAGGGAAACTAAGAGGGAGAATTCTGCATATCACCTTGAGTTCCTGTATAAAAGGTGCAATATAAATGTAATAAAGTATGGGGACTAGTTTATTGCACACATGCTTCCAAACTTCGTTAGAATTGAAAGCATGTCAAAGGTTAATGAGGAGAGAAAAAAAAGAGTAGAGACGGCTAAATAAAACTGGCATCCTTTCCACAGAATAATAAGAAAGTGGTAATAGCTATAGCAACAGCACTTTGACTTTTGTACTGCTTCACAGTGCTTTACATCCCTCTCTAAGTGGTTTACAAAGTCAGCATATTGCCCCCAACAATCTGGGTCCTCATTTTACCGATCTTGGAAGGATGGAAGGCTGATGAGCAAACAAAATGCTTAGCTCATTACAAAACTGAAAATGCAGTAGGAACTAAGGGGACCTACAATCAGAATATAAAGTAAAACACATATCATTTGCATGTTGTTTAATTGGTGGCCCAGCTAATTTTAACTACCAAAGAAATTACATATATATGCTCTGTGCCAAAATTTCAAATAGTTGGATGTGACTTCTTCCCTGACTTCTGTTCACTTACTATCCATAAGGAAGTGAGTATTCAACCAAATCATTTCAACCAAAGAGCCAAAAGAATGTAGTTCTTCTAAAAGAAAAATATTTTCATCTCTGCCTTTGATTGTTAGAAGATTAGAACCTGAAAATGAACAGATGTATCATTAAGTAAATATACTTAGAATATTAAAGTATGCTCATGTAAGATTTTAGGTTTATTTAGAATTTGCTTTAAAGAGCAGAATTCCCACATTATGTATTTAATCAATTTGCTGCAAGATTTCTGGATTAAGATTATAAAACAGCCAAATTAAACAAACACAATGTAAAATCTACAACAATTTAAAATAGTCACAAAAGCAAATCCAGAGGCACAGAAGAACAGCAGTACAAGAACCATTTTTAAAAAAAAACAACAACCCAAAACTAAAAAATCTGAGGGAAATCACTTTTTCCTCCCAGCATTGAATGCAAAAATGCTATGGATAGGCAATTGTGCCTAAAAAGGTTGGTCCATAACCAGGGCACAACTACTAAGAAGACCTTTTATTTTTAGTTATTTCTGTCTTTATCAGATTTATATAGCCGCCATCTCATTAAAAGCGAGTCTGGGTGGTGTATAAGAATTAATAAAGCCAGATACATAAAAACACTCATAAAAATATAAAAATCCTTATTAAGATTATTGAAACACAGTTTGGTGTAGTAGTTTATGCCTAAGGCCTACAAATCAGAAGGCTGTCTGTTTTACCCTTGCCTTAGGCACGAAAGCTATTTGGGTGACTTTGGGCCAGTCTTTCTCTTTTTCAGCCCAACCGACCTCACAAGGTGGCGGTTGTGGGGAAACGAGGAGGAAGAAGGAATGTTAAGTATGTTTGCTGCTTTTAGTTTCTTATAATGTAATAAAGGTGGTATAAAATAAACTCTAATCAACAAAAATTAAAAAGAAGATACTATAAAACATTCAAAATATACAAACCATGCAGAGAAAACAAAAAAATCAACCATAGTGGAGCCATCTAAGAATGAATCCGGATTCCCTGGGATTCCACCAGGCCTGGTGTCATAATCCGATTTTAAGGAACTTCTGAAATGATAGCCGGGATGGAACTAACCTGACTTTGTGTGTGTGTGTGTGTGTGTGTGTGTGTGTGTGTGTGTGTGTGTGT